TATAAAATGTGGTCTTCTTAATATTTTTCATTTGCAAAATATGTGATTAATTAGGATCGCGTATAAGATGTGTCATTTGCTTTTACAGATACGTCCCATATTGTACGTCATTGCATATGCATGCTTGTTTATTCTATATATTTTTGTTTGTTTTTGTTGTTCTAAATTGTAACGCAATATGTAATTTTAATTTATGCCTACAATATTTAATGCTTAAATGGATTCTTTTGTAAAGTATCACTGTCAATGTCATCGTGCTGGTTTTCTTATTTGTAAACAAATAAATAAGTTTTAAACCGAAAAAAAAAAAAAAAAAAAAAAGTTTTGATAACTTGAGACATAATTTAACAAGAATTGATAGATTTGACAGCAGAACCAGTTTGTCGCAGATTCAAACCTGTGGGGTTCTGGCGTGCTTGCATTATCCCTCTAAATTCTTCACCATATGAAAGTATATGTGGTCAGAATAGAAGTGGGAGATTTGTTAATGCCTACATAAATAAATCATTTTGTTATAGCCTTTGTTGACAGTCAACTTAGTGATTATGATATGAGTGATGACGTTTCGAAAGTGACGTCAATATTATTTAGACAACATGCAAACGCCATTTATTTTTTATTATCGTATTTTATTTTTGGGAGTTTCACTAAAATACCCAAAATGGAGGTTGAAATTATAAAAAAACCCAACACTCAAAACACTTTATAAACACACCCAAAACTCATCATTACACACACTCAACACTCATTTATAAACACACCCAAAAAGTTGACTTTGGAGTTGATTTTGGGTGTGTTTCTATGTTTAAATAGTACTTGGGTTTTTTTATAAATACATGTTTAGGATTGAGTTTATTTATAAATTTGTATTTATTTTTTTGCTTACAATAACATCAACACTATAATAATATATGAATATTTGGATGAGAGAATAATATATAACAAATATGGTCAGATTATTATATCGAGGCCTTTGGTTATATTGAAATCAATAACGAGAGTCTTTCGCATGGGAAGACTTTCATGGGTAAGTTAAACATCATGGTCTCTCCTTTCACACACTCAAGCTATCCCATTGGTGTGTATGTGAGAAAACAGGAAATTGAAATATTTTTATAGATAAGGGAATTTGAAGGTGGAATATATTAATGATCTTCTTGTAAATTGATGGCGTATGTCACGTATATGGTTTGAACTCCTTTCTTTAGAATTGAAACTTGATTTGTATATATGAGTTATGTAAGTTGACCATGATAATGAGTTCGACTTTGTGTGTTGAAGTTTGAGTCCTCTTCAATATAAATTAAATTAATTTAGAATAGTTTAGACTATTATTTGTATCGAAAAAACAATAACAACTGAGATTTGACTAGTCATGCACATGAAATTTTATTTAAATTTTTCTATACTGAAAAGCATTGAGTAATGGCATTCTTGTGAATTTCTCTAGAGCTATCATTGTTTGTCTGAGAAATTATTTGTGTGCCCTTTTGAGTCCTTTTTGGAAAGAACACTATTTGCCTCTTTACCTATAAGGAGATACTCATTCTTCATGCGAATCACAATTTGACATATATACAAAAATAATTCATCAAAAACAAAAAAAGAAATTTTTTTATACACATGTCACACTCCTATTTGGTAGGAATGTAAAAACTCCAACTTATATGAGGAGGGATATATTTGGTGGGGGGGAATATCCAACCCAGAGACGGCTTTCTTTCTATCCAAGGAATGGAAAAGACTGAACCATGGAAGCTTTATGGTTGTCTTTGACAAAAGCAAACACCTTACTTTAATTCTTCTATAAAATAACACAAGTTGAAATTATTTGCTAGCCCTAGATATTTCGTAACTTTATGTTTAGGCACATGATGATGCACATATAATTGAGACTAATTCAAGATAAATCTTTCTCCACAATCACTAACATATAGAACCCATCTTAATAGAAAAATAATGCAAAGATGGGTTAGGCCAGTTGGCCAAAACAGTGAGCCAAACCCCTTAGACCCCCTTAGACCAAGTTTCAGTTTCCTTCGTAATTTAGACCATCACTTGTAAGTTTTAATTTTTTAAAAAAAATTAACGCCATGAAAATTAGAGCATAAAAATATCTTCCCATTGTTGGTAGGTGGTCAAGTTCATTAACTGTGAATCTTTTCAATAATAAATTGAATGGGGAGGCATGGTCAAAAGTCATAGGAGTTGATCAAACTTACAAGTTAATTGCCTTGCCTCTTGGTGACTTGGTCCAACAGCAATGACCAAAGAAATAAATAACAGTCAAGTCCTTCATCGTGCATGCTCCGTCAACTTCTTCTAGTCCACCCTGTGCAAGAAGAGTGAGAGAGACCATGACAATGCATTCGGACGCGTCTTGACTTTGCACTAATTTTGATTAATTTCTTTAAATTAATGTTAGTCTAGAAGGTTTAATTAAAGGGTCATGCTAGAAAGACCAACTTTATATATCAACTTGTGTACCAACTCTCTAATAGAGGTGGAGCCCACCAATACAATGGGCCCCATGCTCTATTAAAGAGTTGGTACACAAGTTGGTATCTAAAGTTAATCTCCCTAGTATTTTCCTTTATAGAATGGATTCTCTGCTGTTTCTTGTATGTTTGGAAAGGGAAGATTCCTTCTATTTATAAGTTTTCTTGTCCGGTGTTCATGGGATTGATTGGTACTTGGAAGGTTGAAAGTCACAAGTTTTATTATGACTGTGTGACCATACATTGTAAAATCTTCACGTACTACTAATGACATTAGCAAGCGACCTTGTTTTGGGAGCTTCATATCATGGTTGTTGGTCGTTCCTTGTTTGCCAATATTGGACACGACCGTAAACAACCTTGACCATTTTTTATCTTCATGGACATTACGAATCAACGGTAAAAGCTTTGCAACTAGTGTCACTAAAAGCTTTGTGTTCTTGTAGTCGAAATGGGCAAAGAGTCGAGAGACTAGTGTCACTAAAAGCTTTGTGTTCACATACAGAGCTGGTGGTCGTTATCGTATAATCAACGGTAAATGGTCAATGATGCAAACTCACACCTAATTTCTGTATGCCGCCTGTCCCATTTTTGGAGTTTACGTTTCTGAATTATTTATGCGATTTGGTCCCACCTTCCAAATGCTCTTGCTCCGTACAAGTTATTATTGCTGGTGGCTGTAAACCCAAAACAGAGCTCTCTCTTTCCTCTGTCTTATGTTTTCAGGATGGCCACAGCTGAGAAAATCAAGAACCTGACAGATTGCAGCTCTATAGAACTGAAGCTCATCTCATGTAAGGATCTCAAAGCCTTCAACTTCTTAAAGAAGCTGTCGGTCTACGCCGTGGTCTCCATCTTCAACGACGAAATGAAGAAAGATGAGCAGCAACAACATCTGCAGCGGCAGAAAACACCGGTTGACAGAGACGGCGAAGGCAACCCAGAATGGAACCACACGGTGCACTTCGACACCAAAGACATGTCTCTGGTTGACAAGTTGGATCATCTTTACGTCAAATTCGACATGCGCTGTGAAGGCATCCTTTTTGGCAAGAAAAGCCTGGGAAAAGTCCTGGTGCCCTTCACGGATTTGCTTGATGAGGTCAATGAGGCAGTCAGGTTTCTGAGCTATCAGGTTCGGACTTGTGATGGTAAGCCTAATGGGGTCTTGAATTTTTCTTCCAAAGTGATTAGGAAGAAAAAGAACAAAAGCAACATTGGAGTTCATGATTCTCAGGAGACTGGTTCTTCTTCTGAATCAGTAACCAGTGTTCCTGATCCTGCTAATAATACAGTCCAATCTCTTTATCCCACCTTAGAAGTTCAAGCACAAAACCAGTCCCGGGACATATCCTATCCTTCACTAGCTGAAGTTACCTCTCCTTTGCCAAGAGTCTCAGTTCCTTCTCCAGAGTTCAATTTCCATTGGAGACCAGAATCTTACCCTATGAGTCTACCATCAACCCTGCCATTTACTCTTCCTGCTGCAGCTGTGCCTGCACCAAATGTGCATTGCCATCCATGCCAGCTCTTGCCGTTTCTACAGTCTCCAGGGTCATATTGGCATCCAGCAGAGTTGGCAAATTATGGTAATTACAGTTTCTGTGGGAACCCAGCTGGGTTTGGACAATTAGGGATGGTGGAGAATAAAGGCCATGATGGATGGAGGATTAATAGTCCAGGGACTAAAAGTGGCCCTTCCAGTTCCAGACTTGGGGACTAGCAATGGCAGCTGCAGCTGAGATTTGGTGCTAGCTTAGCATAGACCTAGTTTCTAATGCTAATTTATTTTATCCAGGCACTTTATTTCCTTGTTCAATTATTTTGAGCTTGTGAAGGCACTGGGCAGCCTCTCCTTTTGGATTATTTGAATAACCTTTTTCTAAATAGTGTATGGTCAGGCTGTAATTTTGGCGTCTTCTTCTTTCTAAGGCTACTGAGAGAGCCGCCTCCCCCCAGTGGCCCTTTAGGTTTCCGTAACACAAAAAGAAGCCTTTCAATTAATATGTTTAAATTAGTTGCTAAGCATACTTAATTTAGGGAAATAAACAATACCCTTTTTTTTTTTGGGACGAAAGGCAAAAAAACAAAACCAGAGCTTCAAGAAAAGTGAATTTGGCTTTTCATGGGAATCACCGGTTTTAAGGGTGTCATTCTCGACATGCATGTGCATTGGGCTTGCACCGTGCACACACAAGCCATGCCTAAACAATCATGCTCATGGTATCGTGTTCCTCATTGTAGTTTGCAAATGGCTTTATTAATTTATGAATCTAGCTTACTTGTGCATTTTTTTAAAAAAGTTGGGTTTTAGTTAAGGAAAATGCTAGGGATACCAACTTTAGATACCAACTTGTGTATCAACTCTCTAATAGAGCATGAGACCCATTGTATTAGTGGACTCCACCTCTATTAGAGAGTTGGTACACAAGTTGGTATCTAAAGTTGGTCTCCCTAGCATGACCCGTCCATAAAATTGATCTCAGTGCAAGAAACCATTCATTGATTATTTGTAAAGCTTTGTGGTCAGAACTCCAAAAGAATATTTTTCTTTACAGACTGAAATGCTTAGATGACTGTTTCAAGATCCCATGAGTAAACAAACTAATCAGATTATTACTATTATTGAAGAAATTATAACAAACAAAACTCGAAAATACAAGAATCTCAAAGCATAGGAATCTGAAGTCAACCTCAGCGGGTTTTGTTCTTTTTGTGGCCTTGAACTTGTACTGCTGCACAAATCTTCTTCCAACAGCGGACGGATATGAGCGTCGGTATTACAACCCAGGAGGCATTAGCAGCAACGTAGTATGCATAGTAGTAGAATGAACTTGCAGCAAAGTTGTCACCTTCCAAGTAGGATGTTATGAAGTATACTGCAGTTCCATAGAGCTGCCCCAACGAAATGGCAAACTGAAGTATGTAGCTATATGACTTGCCCTTAGCTATCGCATATCTGCCAAATCATCATAAAGATCATATTTAGCACTACAAAGGACAAGAGGACTGCACATACGGTCTGGACTCTGGTGAACCAGAGATTGGAATTCGAAAATCAAAACTTTACATTATGAATGAAAGCATAAACTTCATGATAACAAAATTCAAAGCCTTACACTGCAAGAAGGCAAGCTGGACCTTCTAAAACTGCAGTTAGTCCTTCAACAGCAACAACGCCTGCATCCCGAGCTGCATATCTTGAATCACCTTTGCTGTACCCAATTTTCATCTATGAGTTTAATAACTATATACAACCCACCCAATTTGCAACAAATGCTAATTGTATAGAGATGGAGGGAAAATGAGAAACAGAACTTACAAACTTCAGCAAGGTAACAAGCAGTCTTATCCTTGTAAAACTCGGGCGAGAAGGCAAAATAGCCTTCAAGTATCATGTGGGTGAGGCCCGTGAAGGCCCACCAACACATTAGCCATCTATCAATTTTTGATTTTTTTGGAGACCGCCCTGTTATATACATAGCAGGAAGTAAAAAATAAAACATTAGATTGTTAATTAGACCATTAGATTGATTTGAACAAAAACAAAACATCTGTAGCTACAAAGCATTATATTGCCAATAACAAATACATGGCAACCATCAAAATAACAGATACAGAGCATTAGATTGTCAATAACAAATAAGAGTGTGGGTTTGTTTGTGCAGGCAAGGGACTTCAAAAATGAACCCATGAATCCAAAATGTGATTAGCAATGATATTGGGTCTTTCTAATGAGAGAATTGTCAAGTTTTTTTAATGAGAAATCTGGAATTGTGTGTGTTTGGATGCTGAGAAAGTTAGCTCAGAAAAGTAAATCTAGAATTTTCCTCTGATTTCATTCACTTGAATAATGATAATTGCAGTAGGTTTACTTTTTATACAAGATAGAAACTTAGCTATGAATAACAACCTGTAACTAACATCTAACCATCAGCAATTACCACATTCAAAAACCAAGATGATGAATTCGCACGCAGACACAAAAATTGTATGAAGTTCGAAACTTTTTGGATATCAGACTCTCTAGAGTCTCATCTGATGCTCTGCCTATGAGTCTATCTATAACCCACTTCAAGCATCAATTGCTTCAGTGAACTAAGAAATTCACAGAAGTAACTTGAAAAAATTGGATCTGATAAGAAAATAAGTGAAGAGAGTACCGGAGAAGAGCCACGTCAGCAAAACGACGAGGAGGGAAGAGAGGCCATAGACCCCAAGAATGGTGGACTGTGAGAGAAACCCAGGTACGAATCCAGGTAGCTTTAGATCTCTGGGTACGTATGGATGATTCTCATAAATCCCAGAGCCAGACCCCTCCATTTTCGCTCGCTCGCTCGCTCGCTCGTACACTCCGAAACAAGTCAAATCAAAGACTCCCAAAAACAGATACGACGACTCGTCCCTTTCTTTCCATTTTAAACTTCTTTTGGATTCGATCTCAGATATTGTAATGGGCCAATTTGGAATAAGCCCATTATCACGCTATCTGATTAGGGAATTCAACTCGAATATATTGTCTTAATTGACTGGTCTAACTCACATCTGCGATAACGATTTAGTTTAGTGATATTTAGTCTTCACTTTTTTCTGTCCAAGTTAACATGGTTGATCTTAGGACGAACTAGGATGAGTTCTGTTGCACTCCCATTTTGCAAACATTCCCATTTTCATTGATTCAATTACCAAACTATCAAAATATGGGAAAAATGCAAATATCCAAACTAAGAGTGTGAAAATTGTGACACAGAAAAAACTAGTTCTCGCCTGAAAACACATGGATACATGTTACATGATGTGTATTATTCAACCATAGAATAATGCAAAGGGTTATCCAAAACAGATTACGATACACATACGACATTAAGAAGCTTATTTTGTGGTTTGTAGAGTTGGGTTATATTTAATACTTAACCCTTCCTCCTAATTCCCAACTCAGAGGCAGACCTTGAGGCTTTGTCAAGAACATCAGAGAAGCGAGCGGCTCCGGTTGAAATGTAGTTATTGTTCATAATGGCAGTGCCCGGCTGCCTGCTCGACAACATAAATTGCTGATCTTGTTTGTCCCATGAGCACTCTGCCTTTCTCCGACAGCTTCAACTTCTCTAGATCTTCCTTGTTTTTTTCTTAGCATATTAGCTTCTGGGATGACCCCCTGGCTTTTGGCCTGAATAGCACACACATAGATACTCATTATGCCATAATGCCATTGCTTTTAGGGCCAAAACAGTTGAAGCTTGTTTATTGCAATTCAAACAGATTTTGAAGCCTTTGGGAGTGAAGTAATGCTATTTAGAGTGAAACTTTTTCCTTCAAATGTGAACAAAATGTTGCAATTTGATAGAGCTGGGTGCTTAATCAGTGGAACTAATCATAGAATTACTTAATAGAGAGAGAGAGCGAGAGAGAGAGATGAACCTGGGTGTGATCAATGTCTCCTGAAACTATAGGAATTTTTGTAGCACATGCAGGTAATATGCAAATTGGTTGGCCTTCAAAGATAGCATTCTGCAAAGTGATCATTCCTTCCTTTCAGACACACTACTAAAATAAAAGGCAATAAAAAAAAAAAAAAAACCACACATACAGAGTTCGTTTTTTTTTCTTGGCTTACATTAAGGAGAAGAGCAGTTTGAAAAGCATAAGGCTGGCCAAAAGTCACCAAAGCATATGGTAATTGATCTTCAACTCTGCGATCCAAAAAAAAGGAAAAAGAAAAACATGAAATTAATCAATAGAAAATATGAAGATATAGTAAATATATGCGATAAGAGGTTGTTTAATTACCTCAAGAGCTGGATTTGACGAACAGTTCCACAATAAGAGAAGAAGGTGTTCAACTCTGCAAGAGTTGTTCTTGGAGAAAGGTTGAGAACCTGAACAGTCATCGAATCCCCGACTCCCATTATTATTATTATTATTATTATTATTATGTTCACAATTCTGATTCATTGCGTTAAGTAACTGGCTGCTATTACTATACAAACCCAGTGTCTACTATTTCATGAGCATCCAATCCAAACCTGACAAGGAATTTTGAAAAATCATACAACTTGGGAATAAAGCAAGGGAGAATCGAAAAAAGGGGTCCAAAAATATCTATCTGGGGATTAAATTTAATCATTAATGGGAGTGGGATTGACAACGAACATATTATTAGGTTTTTTTTGGGACCAGTGATAGCTAAATTATAAGGGAGGAGATTTTTCACATACACAACTATGATGCAGTGGGAATTCGAATTTGAGACCACTAGTTTGCAAGATTGCAAGTCATGCTCAAGATCCTTTTTTTATTATTAATTTTTTTATAAATATTTTATATACTAACGATATTGAGTGAGGAAGAATCGAATTTAGAACTTCGAATACAAAGATAAATACTCATAACCACTTGAATTACAAGCCTTTGCAATATAAATGCGTAAGACAAGGAGATGTTAATGAACATTTTGCTTCTTGTTGTGGTCTCTAATTAAGGTCTTGCGTGAGCTTGAGACCAAATAGAAAAAGGTGTTTTGGAGGCAAATATTCTTGGAGGCACGTCGGAAATTGCAAATGCGTCGCAGTCATGTAATTGCTTTTGACTGTTTGTTTTTTTCGCTCTGTTTTCAGGCCTTGAGCCACATGCCTTATTCCTTTCTTTCGCTTTCACCTTTCACATCATCCAAAGTTACATATTAGGCCATAAATTTATTAAAGATATAAGCACTATTAAGGTAAATTAGATTAGACTTATCCAAAATTAGTATTCATCGGGCTATTCCCACACCCCACACACGTGCGAAAATTTTCGGGCAATTGAGAAAATAGACACTTAATATATCCTTATTATCGTACTCTCTTATTGTATTATGTATAAAATTTGAAATAATTACTCTTACCATGCAAAATAAATATTGACTAATAGTATTTCTAGTAATTTCAAATATCAAAGTGATATATTGTCTAGTTGTTTTCAATACATTGTATCGTGTGCTTTTCGTTTGGGAGCTAATTTTCTTACTTTTTTGTGTACTTACATTCATTTTGTTGAAAATTGTTTTCCTACTCAATCTTTTGCTCACTTACTCTCCATTGTATGTTATAGTAAAAAATATTTATAAAAAAAAGGAAATATAAGTGGACAAAAGAGAAGTAGGAAAATCAACATCCTTTCGTTTTTGTAACTAATTTAATTTTGTGGTCAAATTCAAAGGTTTTTCTTTTTAGTTATTGAATCCAAATGCACCTTTAATATAGGTATGAATGTTCACATATGTAGGAGCACATCACATGAGTTTTCTTTCAACTGGCAAATGGCTCAACTGGGTTCTTGTTGTACCACCCTAGACCCTAGCATTGAGTTAAGCATTCAACCAATTTTGTTTTCATGGTCAAGAGTTCAACCATTTCTCATTGGAACCGGCTCCAAAACAAAACGAAAAGAAAAAGGTCACATTATTAACCCCCCAAAAAAAAAAGGTCACATGACCAAAAAAAGACCAAGAAACATGATAGCTTTAGGAAAGTGGTTGCCGGCTTGCCGCTGCAATTTATAGGCTCAAAATGGATCCATTGGGCAGCTCTTTCTCTTTTAATACGTGAAATCAAATCATGGAAATAAAGAAAAAAGATAAAGACAAAAACAAAGCAAAAACTAAAGGGAAATGAGGGGCCAAAATTTCAATGCATGGGAAGGCAGGCCAGCCAGGTCCCAACTAAAACACTTTAATTAGCGATTTAATTGCAAATTAAATTTAATAAAACTTGGGGTTGTTTGTTTCATGTTAGTTGGTGCCTGCCTCGTGGCAAAGCAACAAAACAAAGCCAAAGCAAATCCTCCTAAACTAAGCTCATCTCTCTCTCCCTCTCACATATCAGCAGTCAGCTACAGCCTACAGCAAGAGAAAGCTCCGGCGAAGACCACGTTCCCCTTTGTTTCTCTCCTCCTCCTGTCCTCAGTCTAAGTGATATTATTAAAAAAAGAAACAAAATTTAGTGTAAAAGGGTGCAAAAAATAAAATATTTATATAATCGGAAAAATCGGCGATCCGAGTCATTGGGAGGGAAATCGCCACGGGAGCAGAGCATTGTCCCTCTCGGACTTGTAATCACTACCCGCCTCTTCAAAGACCTCTTGGGTTTGGAGACACCGGAATTCCCAGTCTCGTCCCCCGATCCGTTTCAGTTTCGAAGAGAGCTTTAATGGCGTTTCAAATGCATTGAAGGGAAAATATATGAACGCCTTCAAAAACTGAACCCGAACCCTTCGTTCCCACTTTTACGGCGACAGAGCTCCGGATTCGGTTCTCTTCTCCCCATTTCAACAAAACCCAGAAAACGAAAAACACACATGATTAAAAGGTGTGTTAAAGATTTGATTTTTTATTCACCTCCTTCTTAAATTGGTATGAATTTGAGAATTTATTTGATTTATCTCTGCCATCATGTCATGTCTTCATTTTATAGATTGTAAATGTTGAGCTGAGTGTTCTTGATCCTGGTTGATGCCACGAGCATTGTCTTTACCGAGTTGGGACGTCGTTGAGGGTTGGGGTTGTGTGCGTTGCAGATCCTGCAGATGGTGGTGGCTCAGAATCAAATGTGTTGAGCTTCAGGAATTGTAGGGGGGGCCATGAGAAAAAACGACATGGTCAGAACGCAGGAAAGAATGTACACAACTGCTCTGCCTCCTCAGCATTCTGACTCCGACAGTCGAATTATCGACACCCCTGGCCCGTCCCTGCATCTCTATCAAGTTTGGAAAGGAAACAATGTAGGTGATGACGTCAATTGCTACTTACATTACATGTAAAAACAACAGGGAATGAATGCAAATCTGTATATTTATCAGTTGATTATGTTAAATGTCATATGTTGTAGATTGGGCTTTCTTTGGATTGAATTTTGTGTATATGGTTTTAGAATCCCACTTGGTGGAATTTTAAAAGAAGGTGTATGTGTCTCATGGCCTTACAATGAACTCAGTTTTGCTTGATGTTTTGCAGAGATTTTGCTTCAATGGCAGAATTATATTGGGTCCAGATTCGAGGTCATTATTCCTTACCGTGTCCCTAATCGTTGTTCCAGTGATCCTGTTCTGCGCTTTTGTTTCTCAAAGACTAGTTGAGCAATTCCCACGCCATATTGGCAATCTTATTGTGGTTCTCTGTCCCCTGTTTGCAGTATATGTGAGTTCTTCCTCTTTACATGACTGGTTTTTCAATTTCCCTTTTAACTCTCCTACCAGGTGAAAATTGCCAAAATTATCTGTAATCACATTACGCTAAGGGGAAAAATTGAGAGAAGGAGAAGAAACTTCTACTGATATACTAAGAACATGAAATTCTCTGTATCACTCTGCCAAGTAATTGCATAAGTTAACTATTATTTTAATGTTCGAAATCCAGAATGTCGCAATATAAGGTTTGAAACTCAGATGGAGCATAAGGACTTAAGAATTTTATTTATGCTTTAAGGCAGAGAGAGACAAATGGTAGTTTTATTGGTTTGTAGCCCCAATATGGGATTTTCTGAAATAATATTATGTTGGACACATGTTGATGTTTGCCGCACTGAACTTCTGTATACATTTGATAACTGAAGGTTTTTGGCTTATTGACTAGTGCAGGTTGTTATTCTTCTCTTGATTACATCTGCAAGAGATCCTGGCATTATTCCTCGTAGCCTGCATCCTCCAGAACCAGAAGATGACGGCTATGTCTCTAGTATCTCTTCTGATTGGCCAGGAAGTCAGAATGGACCTCCCGGTGTACCACCCACAAAAGATACTATGGTTAATGGCGTGATAGTCAAGATCAAATATTGTCAAACATGCATGCTATATCGTCCACCCAGATGCTCTCATTGCTCTATATGCAACAACTGTGTTGAGCGTTTTGATCACCATTGCCCATGGGTGGGGCAATGTATTGGGAAAGTATGCTTCATATCATTAAACCCGCATTTTAGCTTGAATTTACATAGTTTTTTCATATTTCTTTTGTAATGTGGTGTAAAGTACAACCTTATAGCAGAAGAAGCTCTCAAAGAAATTTAATACATATATTTACATATTAAAATTTGAATTGTGATACATTGATTCCCAAAAATGATGACAATGTTATCTCATTGCGCTATTATTCTATCAGACAAACTCTTAGTTCTGACATGTTGAGTTGAGTGTCTGTGTATCACTTCCTACTTGCACGCTGCATGCATCTAGGATTGTGGATTTTCAACCCTCACTTCATCCGTACCTTAAGTTATTGCCCAGCATATATGCATACTCCTGCATCACAATCTATGGTTCTCTCCTCGTTTGAGTTGAAGGGGATAAGTTATATTAATTACAATCTTTTCATAATCTTTACACGGTTGAAGTTATTTTTCACAGAGGAATTACAGATTCTTTTTCATGTTTGTGTCCTCCACGACCATGCTGTGCCTCTATGTCTTTGCCTTCTGCTGGGTAAACATAATGAAGATAATGGATGCTTACCATTGCAATCTCTGGAGAGCTTTATCAAGGTCACCTGTTTCAGGATTTCTAATTCTCTATACATTTGGAGCTGCTTGGTTTGTTGGAGGTCTCACTGGATTCCATCTCTATTTAATTTTCACCAATCAGGTTCCTTGCTCTTTACCTTTTGTTGCTTCTTGGTGTTCGCTCTCTATTTATCTCTCTTAGAGTAAAATTTCATCTTGTGTGCAGACAACCTATGAGAATTTTCGGTATCGATACAATGTGAAGATGAACCCGTACAATCGTGGATGTTTTCGCAATGTTGGGGAAGTCTTCTTCTCTAAAATTCCGAGATCTAAACAGAACTTCAGGGAAATGGTTAAGGGTGATTCGTCTTCTGTCTATGCCAGTTCAATGTCATTACGCCATCCCATGAGCCCAGAGATTCCCAAA